TGGAACCCCTCTCAGGGCCTTGCATCTCTGGTGAGTCACCCAATCAGCAGATCAGGGAAATCAAGGGGACCCCAGAGAACAGAAAACCAACCTGTTTGCCACATTAGACTGGACTAGATCCCACTCCCTTCAGAATGACCAGTGTACATTCTGCAACGAGGAGGGTCATTGGAGACAGAAATGTCCCTGATGCTTTCAGGAGAAGCCAAGGATGATCAGTCAGACCCCAACCCCCATCCTGGCAAGTGGCACCACTGGTAGAGGAAAGCTACAGGATTCAGGAGGCTTCATACATGTCCCCAACAGTGATTTCTGAAGTTGATTCTTTAGATAGGAACAAGGTCAGTTGACCAACTTGGTCTTAAAACACCTGACAGGAGAGTATAGCCTAAAAGCAGAGTCTTACATGGACATTTAAAAGGAAAAACAATGTTTTTTTTAATGTAACTTAAGATGTACACTTGTATCAGTCCTACCAACAGTAAGTAAAGCTGGAGGCTATGAAGGTAAGGTTTTGTGCAAGAGTGCCTAATAATACTAATCACAAAAGATACAAATTTGTCCTRAGTTAATTTGAGTATGATTTCATAGACCTACAAATCTTCCTAACCTCTTATATTGAATTTGACCTGTTTTTCACTAAGATTGAGTTACTGCCTTTATGGTTTTCAGAGACCGGCTAAAATACTAATTGTTTACAAAAAAAAAAAAAAAAAGTAATGCCTTGCTGTCTTTATTTTTGCCTTAGCATGATCTCTGATCTATATATGCCTTATCCAGTCACCTGCCATCTACCCTGTGGATCTCTGGATTGCTCTGATGCTGAATGCCCTTAACTGTCCACACCCTACCTGATAAAGAACAAGGACTTTGGGTTACCTCCTCCCAACTTTGCCCCCTTTTAGCATGAAGTAGCTTGGAGATGTTGYCCACTTTCCATAGAAATAGAATGTAGAAATTGACAGTGGGGAATTGTAACAGGTGTTCTCTTGATGCACTGACTTATCCCCTGTGGCTTTGAAACTTACATTTTTTTTTTCCTTCTTTCCCACTCTTCCCTAAACTTCTCCTCCCTGGTCTTCTTTTCCCTAACCTTCTCTTTCTTGATCTCTCCTTTCTATTCTCATTTTCTCTAAATCACCTTTCTATTCTCATTTTCTCTAAATCACCTTTATATTCTCATTTTCTCTAAATCACCTGTGGATGGGCAGAATCACAGCCTTTGGGATAGGAGTCCCCTGTGTTTCTCTTTTGCTAGCAAAGAAAGCAATAACCTTCTTTTTCCTTTTTTTTCAGAAGAATAAAAAAAGCACAAAATGCTACTTACTTTATCTGGGAGATAACTATTCTGGGGGGCAAGGAAAAGGGTTTTGACTTGACAAAAAAAGTTTCTCTGAAGAAATGTTGCCTAATTCTATGCCAAGTTAAACATTTAATTAATTAGGTGAGGGCAAGGAGGGTGCTGGCAGCCATGGAAGGAGAAAATAGCAAATGCAAAGGTCCTGAGGATGAAAATTATAGCACTTCAGGAACGAAGAAATCATGGGCACAAAAAAGAAAGAAGCACGGGAAGAGATGTTCATGAAGAGATAAGCAAGTACCAGACCACACAAGACGGTGCAGAGATGTCAAGGCTTAACTCCAATCTCAAAACAATGGGAAATCATTAAAAAAAAAAAAAAAAAAAGTTTAAACAGAGGAATAACCATCATTTTACAAACTGATATACTACACAGTTAAATTTTTGGTAGCATTGTCCTATGTAAAGAATGCCTAACCTGGGCTGGAGCTGTGGCTCAGCGGTAGCAGACCTGCCTGGCATGTGTGAGGCACTGGGTTAGATTCTCGGCACCACATATAAATAAATAAAGGTCTAAAAACAACTAAAAATAAAAATTTTAAAAAAAGGTGCCTAACCAATTTTTCAGGAAATTTGGAAGTAATTTTCTTACAGGTATGAGAAAATCAAAGCTATCATAGACTGATCACATTAACTATTAAAAACATTCACTAAAATTTACTTGAATTTAATTTTTTATCAAATCAAGATTTGGATWATAATTGAGCTTTCTATGTAGTGCCTCCTATGTGGAACAGTGCCAGCTATGCACCCTAACTACATAAGACCATTTGACACTTTACATATCACACTAGGAATTAGGAAGTTAATATTCTGCTTATTAGCCAGTTTATTATGATTATATGCTTCTGTTCGATGGTTTATTTATATGGCCTTTATTTATATTTCTGTCAGCTCAAAAGCACACTCCATCTATAGAAATGCTATGGGCTAGGGATGTGGCTCAAGCGGTAGCGCGCTCGCCTGGCATGCGTGCGGCCCAGGTTCGATCCTCAGCACCACATACCAACAAAGATGTTGTGTCCGCCGAGAACTAAAAAAAAAAAAAAAATGGATATTGAAAATTCTCTCTCTCTCTCCTCTCTCTTTAAAAAAAAAAAAAAAAAGAAATGCTATGATTTTGGTGGGAAAGATACCAACAATAAACTTTAGTGTCTTTGCCGAGGAACTGGGAAAATAACTAGGCTGTGTCCCTTGTAGAATTCATCCCTTTCTGGCTATAGTGACTGATCCACAGAGCATGCACATGACCTAAACTGGGCCAATTCTCTAGGTTCCAAACACAAAAAGATGGAAGAGAAGCAGTCTGATTCTTCCATGAGTAAGCTTTTTAAGCTTATGACACCCCAGAGCAGCTGACAACCAAGCTCTATACCTTGAAGAAGTCATAGAGAAAGCAGAGACTCACAAGAGGCAAAGGTAGTTATGATGCAGTATAATACTTGGGTTTTGTTAAGTCCCTGATACTAGCTTATACCACTACCTTTTTGGATTCCATTACTTTTCCTTTGTTCAATCTAGTCTGAGTTGGTTTTTGTTACCTGCAATCAGTATAGATCAAACATCCAATGATATAAAGTTTGAACTGSCTTTCAGTAGACAATATCACTGTCAACTAGGCTCTAAGCATCAACCTCCTGTATAAGAAGAAATACATAGGATTCTTGGGCATATTCCTGCCATAAAAACCCTTTAATTTTCCTGATAGTGTCTTTTGTTATTCATAATGGCCCCTCCTTTTTTTTATTGGTGCATTATAATAATACATAATAGTGAGGTTCAATCTCAATACCACTATCTTTCCTTTCCCTCCCTGGCCTATTGCTTGCTCTACTGCCACTTGTGATCAAAGTTATACTAATAAACTGACTTAGGATGGGGMCCCTGAGGTGGGGGAGGAGCAGTGTTGATCACCAGAAAGACATGATTAGGGCCTGCAGAACTTTTAGCTTAATCCACCAACTTCTGGGAAGTTGGTGGATTAAGATGGAAGGCAGCTGAAGATTAAGCTCTGTGACAAATCTTGAAGAAATACTGATGATCTAGGTTGCTGAACAGGGGTGTCAAAGAGATGGTGTCCTCTTCCTTCATACCTTGCCCTATGTGTCTCTCTGTTCCRAGATCTATATCCTTTGTAATATCTATTATGATAAACCAGTAAATACATTTCCCTGAGTTCTGGGAGCCATTCTAGYAAATTAATACTACTTGTAATTGGCAGTCTTGTGGGACTGAGCCATTAAACTGTGGAATCTAATCCTAAATCTGAATTACAGGACACCAAGGTGATGTCTGCCAAAGAAATGATGTGGAGAAAAATCCCCCAAATAACTGATAGAGAAAAACCCCATGTTTTCAACAGTACCCCTACAGGAAAGAAGAAAGGTGTATTCCCAGTAAGAATTTATAATTTTTTCAGGGGTTAGACATACTATATACACAACAAAAGATTAAATGCAAATTCTGAGGATTAGGGCAGGGAAAAACTGCAATGTATTAAAAACAATAGGAATTAAGAATTAGGATTCCAAAGTCGTCTTGTGTTTTGTGATATGATATTAGCTTGACAAGACTTTTTCAGTCAACTGCATTATTTTGAGGCTATAAAAGCATACTCCTCATATTATTATATGTTAAAAAAAAAGTGTAGTTTAATTTTTCTTGGGTCTTAAAACATGTAGTTCTAAGCATCCCTACCACAAGCAAGGGAGCCCTCCAAATTAAAAAGAGAACACCAAGAATGAGTATCTGTAATAAACCAAATGTTCTCCTAATAAAAGGGGGCTTTATTTTCCCCATTACCTATAATATACTTAAAACTCCAGGAATTTTAGACTTCTTTCTTGTTCCTACCAAAGCATAACTGAGATCCTTATCCTGTTAGAATTTAACTCCAGAAAATTCTAATAGTTTCCAATACCATAAAATATTTGCAACAGATGGAAAAAACAAATCTTWATACAAACTTCAGGCAAGAAATAGGGTGGAGTAAAAAGAACCCCGAATTAGGATATCAGGAAACCAAAGTATAAACAATTTTACTCTCAATATTAACTTTCCTCTAAAGGCAATACTTCTGATTAAATGAGCTAGCTTTGTGATATTTTATTCTCTTAGTCAGTTTTTTTTTTTTCCTAAAAACAAATAAATACTTTGGGAAACTATTTGAGGACGCACTCCCAAAGTATAGGCCCCAGGTCTATCCCACGTGTGAATCCATGTGTCCCCACAGTGAATAGTTGACACCGGAGACATTTCTCAAGCTGAGATTAAAAACAACTTTACCCGTCACTTAAAAAAAGAAGAGAAAAAGGAACAAAGCTTTCCACTGCTCTGGTAAAAATGATGAACCTTACTCCGACTAAATCCTCAAACACCGAGTCCGGGGGATCCGGGATTGCTTTTCCTCATCCCATCACGGTAAGTACACCAGACGCTACCCGCCTACCGGGTCTCCGGAGGAGACAGAACTGCTCAGAGCCGTGACTCTGAGATGGAGGTCCCGCCAGAGGTCCCGGGACGCCCTCGGAGGCCACGGCGCTCCCATCGAGGTGGAGGCTGCGACCGCTGGGGCCTGGGGTCGCACCTCGGCCAGAGCCACGGGGGAGGCCTGTGCGTGGCAATCGCCGGACAGACTTACCTCGGCGTCTTCTTTGCACTGTGGGAGGGAAGGGAACTCCAGCTTCACGTCCTCCATGGTCCGGACCCGCGGGCTGGTGGGTGGGGTGGGAGGATGAGTTACCCTGCCGGCCAGACCCTCGGGCTGGCAGTGGCGGCGAAAAGAAAGAGGGCCGGTGGAGCGTAGGGCTGTCCGATGGGCGGCGGCTCACAACTAACAGAAGCAGACTAGAGGGTCGCAGTGACTCCTGTGGCGGCGGCGGCGACAGTGGGGAAAAGGTGGGTTGTGCGGCTCCCTCCCAGCCGCCATGCTGCTGCYGTCTCCCTCCCCCAGCCTCCGCGCCCCTCTGGCAGCCCAGGATCCGGCACTGGCTCGAGCCCTACAACCGTCTCCTCTCCCTCCTCCACCCCCACCCACGCCGCCCTAGCCAATCCCTGCCCACGCTCTCCTGCGGCCCGCCCTCCGCCGCCGCCAGGTGTCAGCGCGCCGCCGCCCTGGCCCGCCCCTTCGCGAGAGCGCAGACGTAAGGGGCGGGGCCTCGGGGCGCTCGGCCGTGGCTCGGCCCGCGTGGAGGGACTGGCTGCAGTGGGAGGGGGCGAACGCAGGCCCGGGGTAAGTAGATGCTCAGAACCAGCCCTGCCTCTGCAGACMGGACGCAGGTCCCCTAACAGTCAACATTTCCTACACACCAGAAACTGGCACCCAAATGGAGAACTAGTTGCTCCTCTCAGAATTCTGCATTTTGTGAAGTTATAACCCAAGTAAGAGTTCAAATTCATGTTATGCTGCACAGAAAAAGAAACACCTGTCACCTTTAAACAAGTAATTAGAATTGTGGACTTCCAAGAATGCTAGGGAATATAACTGTTTACCTACAAAACCCCCAAAAATGACAAATAGAAAGTCATTGGAAACGAAACAGATAAATTCACCCTCAATAAATTATACATAATACCGTAAGGTTTCTCCCTTGATAATATTAAACTACTTGACTTCAAGTATATTTTAAAAAGGAGTTTCTGCTAAAGTTAATATCACATTGTTAATAAGGGTTAGGTATACACTTTCTCTGGGCCTAGGGAGATACTACCATCCTTTTTGTTTTAAACAGATTGATAGATCCCAAGGTAGAAAAGCAAAGATTTATACACCTACCTGGTTGTTTTAAATAAAACTACCACCAGCATAAAAGTAAATAGGCAAAATTAACAAAATGCCAATCACAATAGATAAAAGTGAAAGGATTACAAGAAAATTGACTTAGACCCACCCTTGCATTCTGTTACTTTTTATAGTCATATGTATGCAATGCACTGCTCATAGACGGAACTGTTGAGCAATTTGAGTGTTAACATGGCCAGCCTGAGTGTTTTATGTTCCCAATCACCATATAAACTGTTCTCCACCTTTAAATATTATAAAAGGCACATAATACCCTCCCAGTACTGTATTTAATTTGAAGAATGCGTTTATAATTAACCAGGCCATTTATCATCACTTCTTTAGTGTTTGTAAAACTGAAGTTGTCTTTTTTAAAACAGCAATTTTAATTATAATCTAAATTAATCCCCAAAGATGATTTCCTTGTTTAATGTTAAAATTTTATTGCCAGATACGAGAAAAAAAATTGTACATAAGTAACAGAACTTTTTAGCATTTCTGACATCAACATTCCCTACATTAGACACTCTTAGCCTTGCATTCATGGATACTTACAGAGTCCAAGGGTGAGCTTAGGAAATAATAAATCTCCTAAAATTATAGTACATGTAAAATTGTGTGAATTTCTCTGGGAAGAGGATGTAAACTGTAACATTCTCAAAAATGAACTATTATCTCACAGAGACAAACAAGTCACATTTATTAATTATTAAATATTACTTTAAATCATAATCTTAAAAATTATGAATGTTTATGTACTTTTAAAATTAACTATCAAATAGCCTAATCACAATAGGTAGAGAGTAAATACTTTCTTGAAGGAAGCATATATATATATATAGACATGCCCATTCATGGTATATATAAAAAGATGGTATATATCAAAGATGACACTTAYAATGTGAATACAACTTTAAAATAAAATTTTAAAACCTACATTGCTGAATGTGGTAGTGCATGGCTATAATCCCAGTGGCAAAAGAGGCTGAGGCAGGAGGATTGCAAGTTCAAAGCCAATCTCAGAAACTAAGCAAGGTTCTAAGCAACTTAGTGAGATGGTCTCATTTAAAAAAAATAATAAGGGCTGGATGTGACTCAGTGATTAAGCACCCTCAAATTCAATCCCTAGTACAAAAAAAAGAAAAGAAAAAGAAAAAATGAAAAAAAAAATACTAATTGCAACATCATCTGAATTATCAAAATAAAGTTTACTGTTGGGCCCGATGCTGCACACCTATAATCCCAGTGACTTAGGAGGCTGAGGCAGGAGGATTGCAAGTGCAATGCTAGCCTGGGCAACTTAGCAAGACCCTGTCTCAAATGAAAAAATAAAAAGAGCTAGGTTATGGGCTGGGGATGTGGCTCAAGCAGTAGCGCACTCGCTGGGCATGCGCGTGGCACTGGGTTCGATCCTCAGCACCACATAAAAATAAAATAAAAGATGCTGTGTCCACCGAAAACTAAAATATTAAAAAAAAAAAAAAGAGCTAGGTTCACACTAGCTCAGTGATAGAGTGCCCCTGGGCTCAATTTCAAATATTCACCAAAACACTAAAATAAAGTTTACATCTGAAGGACCTAAAGGAACACAGTAAATATACCCTTAGAAATGACAAGAATATAGGTAGAACTAAATCAAACAGATTTTATTAAACTTTGTTAGAATGAGGAAAACAAATGATATAAAATAAGTCTTAAGAAATGCTCTCTTGTACTACTATCTCAAACTATTTTTCAGTGTTTTACAAAATGCTCACATGGCAAATATGAAAAGCTTCAACACTCTTCTTTTGTAACTTTTGCTGCAATAAATGCAACATTAACAAACATACAAATTTCTTCTGTGTCAATTTTAAAAGTTGAATTACTGAATTACATACTAATTTTTATGTTACTCATACATATTTTATTCATTCACATTTAATGAGATCATTGCCAATACRTACATTATTTTCCTTAACTTTATTTTTACTTTAAGTCAATGTCTGTCATGCAGCCATCCAAAACCTTACAATAAAATTACACAGGTTTGTAGTCCAATTTAGATTCTAGCTTCTTAGAATCAGCCACTTTTCTGACTGCTTTCATGAAGTCTTCTTGAACTACAAAATCATGATCAGCACGAATTGCAAACATACCTGTGAAGAATAAAACAACATGATTGCTATATATCATATGTGAACTACATATTCATTATAAGAAAACTAAATAATGTAAATCTATGGAGTAAATATGAAGGAAACTAGATTTACTGCTTCTGAGTCAGTAGTTCTAATTTGTTAAAAACTATTCTTGCTCAACTGAATTCCACAGCTATGGTGAGCATCAGTTTTCAAATAAAAAAGATGAGACAGTTGGGGTTGTGCTTATGGCCTTTGCTCGCCTAGCATGCATGAGGCACTGAGTTCAATCCTCAGTAGCACATAAAATAAAGGTATTCTGTCTACGTACAACTAAATAATATATTAAATTTAAAAAGATGAGATAATTACATGAATATTYAAAATCTGGCTCACATGGTCTCTATATCCAATGTTAGCTCTTAGTAAAAACAAAAGCAAAAAMCCCCAAAACTATCAACAGCAAATACATTTTCAGCATTAGTTTCTTAATGCTATAGGCAGTGATTCTCTGGAAGAAAKAAGTACATTTATGAATAAAACAAAACACCTCCAGTAATTTTCATAGCCATTCATTGCAAATAATCAAAGGCTTAGAGAATGGGAAATTATAAGAWGCAAACAATAGGCTTTAACAAAAAATCAGAACCATTAGTCCATCGTCAAATACTACTTGACAAAGGAGTAAACTTTTTTTTTTTTTTTCTAAAAGTAATTATGTTATGGATATGGGTCCTGGATTTTGAGACAGTCATACTTTCATGATGAACTATAGCTGATATRGTGTCATTATTTACGAATTACATGAATCATACTAACGTTTCCATTGAGGATCTGCTTGAATTGAATTGTCAAGAATATAAGAAGGTTAGAATAGAAGATTTCAAGGGTTACTTCCTATCATTTCTTTCTGGATTTCAATATGAAGAGTCTTTGAAATGCTCATTTTATGTTGTCCTAAAATCAGGTGAAAGGAAATGACTGTTTTGTTTTTTTTTAATAGACAAGTTTCAAAACTTGCTTAGAAAGCTACAACTAAATTAGGTAAGCTATTTGTATAAATCTTATGTGTATGACTGTTTTCAAATCACTATTTAGAGAATGAGTGAATCTGCAAAAGACATAAATAACAGATGATAATGTTAGGACTTGAATGGAAAATAAAACTATAATTGAAGCAAGTATATATTAACTTAAGGAAATATGTAACAAAAAGGCTTAAAGTCTAATAAGAAAACCAAACAAGAATTCTTATATTTCTAGATATAAATATGTTCCCCAGAAAAATCAAAATTTTTCTGGATGAGGTGGCATACTCTTGTAATACCAAATTCTCAGGAGGCTGGGGCAGGATCTCAAGTTCAAGGACAGTCTCAGCAACTTAGCAAGGACCTGTCTCAAAAATTAAAAAGAACTATAGCCCCAGTGGTAGGGTACCATTGGTTTCAATCTCCAGTCACACAAAAACAAATGCTAAAATTTTAATCCATACAGAAGTTATAATTCTTTGTCAAAAATAATATAAGAAATTTTTTAAATATGCAAAACAAAACCACAATTAGATATTATCTCATGCCAGTAAGAATGGCTATTATCAAAAATATTAAAGATAATGAGTGCTGGCAAGGATGAGGAGAAAGAACCCTTGTACATTACTGATAGGAATGTAAACTGATGAAACTATTTATAGAAATCATTATGGAGTTTCCTCAAAAATTAAAAATAGAACTACCACCATATGACCCAGCAATCCCACTACTGAGTATATATCCAAGGGAAATAAAATCAGTATATCAAAGAGACATTTACACACCCATATTTATTGATGCACTATTTAGTTATCAAGAAATGGAAACAACTTAAGTGTCCATCAAAGAAAATATGCTACACACACACACACATATAATGGAACAGTATTCAGCCATAAAAAGAATAAAATCCTGTCATTTGAGGCAATACAGATTGAACTAGAGATCAACAGGTTAGGTGAAACATGCCAGGCACAGAAACACAAGTATCGCATGATCTCATATGTGGAATATAAAAAAATTCATSTCATAAAAGTTGAGAATAGAATGGTGGTTACCAGAGGCTAGGGAGAATAGTGGGCAGGAAGGGATGGGGAAAGGTTGATTAATGAGTACTATGTTACAGTTAGGAATAAGAAGTTTTGTTGTGGTATTGTACAATTAGTGATTATAAGTAACAATTAGATACTGTGTGTTTCAAAAGCTAAAAGGATTTTAAATGCTTTCATCATAATAAAATGAAAAGTGTTTGAGAGAACCTGATCTAAACTTTATGCAATGAATATGTATTAAAACATCACATAGTACCCCGTTAATATGTATAATGTTTATGTTTATATGTATCAGTTAAAAATTTTTTTTGTAAGCTCTGTTTCCTCAATGCCATGTCCTGAKATGCTTTTCTCCTCCATACCTTTCAACTATGATGCTCTGCTTCACCTCAGGCCAGAACAATAGTGTTGGCCATCTACAGACAAGATCTCTGAAACACAGGTGTCCAGTTACAGAAGATGACTATGAGGTTTTCCCATTAGATATACATACCCACAGCTGCCCTGAAGATCTAGTTCTACTGTCTACTGCATTTTCATAGCACAAGCTCCTGAAATATTCTATGTCCCCTCCTGTGCCAGGGCCTACCTGAATGACTAGGAAGGTATCCTATGATATATTGAGCCTTCAGAAAAATTTACATGTCTCCACAAGGATTCATTAATAGCTTTGAGGACCCTCCAAGCCTCAAGGAGGATACCCTCTCACTAAATATATTCTAATTCAACTGAGAGATTCACAAACATCATAGAATGACAGTGAGTGACACAGTAAAACTTTCAGAGATGCAGGATTCACCAGAATTAAAATCACTGACAAGTACCTGGAAAGGCTGAAGAAGGCTTTTCCWCAGCCAGTCCCTACACAGGATGCTCTATGATAGCCAGGAAGCCAGGGCATCACCATTACCTTATAAGCCAGCCTTCTTTAGAAGTTTCTGGAAATGTTCTAAAACTCCCTGATGGCCCAGAAACACTGAAGCTGCACTAGAAGACCCAGAAATGGTATCAGCCCACTTTGCAACTACAGACTTTTCTAAGTTCTAAAGGAAGGTCTCAGTAACACTTCTTGGAAATTGACCAGTCTTCAACAATGTAGCACAAAATTGACCATGAAAATGTATTTTAAGAAAAATAATGTCTACTACTACAGTCACTGACTTGGATTCTGCATTCATCGATCAAAAATATTCAGAAAAAAATTGCATTTGTAATAAATATATACAGACCTAAAGAATTTGTGGAAAAAAGTACCTATCAAAATTTGATAGCATCAACCTTTAAGATCACTGCATTGCTTTTGTTTTGATTACAATTGCATCAACACTATCTTCTGAGAGCAATTTGATCTGGTATGGATTTTAGAAAAAGAATGTCATAAATTACTCTAAGTAGTTCAAACCATATGATAAGTTTGTCTCTTGATATTTTAATTGACAAGTCTTTATGAGCAYGATTTACTATGATTTATAATGACAGACTGTAGACCTACGGATCTTTGATCCAGGCACTGAGTCACAATATACCCATAAACACATTCCTACAGAAATGTTAATATAGCATTAAACATGATATGAAAGTCAAGAGGAAATCGCATACTATAATACTTAAGAAGTAGCTCACCTACAACCCATGTAGTTAGTTAATTATAAAAACTACTGTAGAAATTTGGTGTTGGACTTTAAGATTTTATATGGAAAACAAAGACTAAATGACTCTAGGTAGGGTTTTTGTKTTAGATGGACACAATACCTTGATTTTATTTATTTATTTTTATGTGGTGCCAGTGCTTCATTCATATGAAGCAAGTGCTTCACCACTGAGCTACAACCCCAGCCCTAGGTAGGGTTTTAAAGTTACTTGGTGTCAGAAATAAAAATGTATCACATGATCAATAATTATATTTTAAAAATGCRTTTATACAAGTTGCATCATTACAGAATTCATAAATCAATCTTTCAAAGATTACTGCTTATAGACTAGTATCAGAAAATAGATGTTATCCATTTTGCAACACATACCTTTGGTGCTGGCTCATCCTAATCTTAGCTTTAGGTGTAATAGACAATTCTGTAGTCTCAGACTTACTTCAAGGGGCCCATGTTGTATACGTGCCTGCCTTCCTACACTCCATTTGTAGGCTTCAGAAGTACAAAGGAGTTAACACCTCCAAGGGAAAATTTCATTCAGTGGGGGAGAAGTGCTAGTAATAAATGTTCTCCCATCTTTCTGTCAGTTAATCTCTGTATGTCCTTTTAAAGTCTCCTCAAATTCCAATATTCCTTGTCTAAAGATGCTGCCTCAATGGTGCATCCTTATATGTTAGCTTTCTCTCTTTCCATCTCACTCGTCCTGTTCTCTCTTGATAACTGGAAATCAATTTCCAAAAGAACAGCATACATTCAATCCTTGCAAGGTCCAGCCTATGGTTTTTGAAACTCAAAATAGTTTTAACAAATTTAAAATATTAAAAGCAATAGCAAAAGTATGCTCCACACTCTTACCTGCTTCAGTGCAAACATTTCTCAGGTCTGCTCCATTAAAGCCGTCTGATAGCTTCACAATCGCTTCATAATCTGTTTAGGAAAAAACACTGGAAATTAGTATTTAAAAAAAAAAAAAAAAGGTGGGGAAAGACCTTTTCTGCTTTATGACTACATGGAAAATTAAAATGAAGAGCTTACTTTGAATCTGAGCAGCTATGAATTACCATAAACATTCCACAATATTATTTTTTATTTGTTGTTTTTATATATACATGACAAAAGGGTGGACTCTGACATACATGAACATTCCACAATATTAACTGAAAAATAAAAATTTTGTTAACTAGCACCAAGAAGAAATAGATATATCTCTGAAACTTTAAAATCAAGAAAAATATCAAGATCTGAAAGCATCTTAACCATTTTTATGCAGTGAAACAACTATGCACAATGAACTTCAGATATCTGTGATGCTATGACTCATTAATACCTTAATTTGAGTCAATCTGTACTACTCAAAACCAATTATAATAATGTAATCACATAAACCAAATGTAAAATATATCAAAACCAGACATCAGACATAATTTTATGACATTTCTGGTTAAGCTTCAAGTAGTATTAGACCTAGGAAAACAATAATAGTTAAGTGGGCTTTCTAACCCACATGACAGACATGAATTAAAGAGCTATAGGTTTGGAGTGGCAGGCATGGATTTGATACAGAATAGGAAGAGAAATAAAAAAGCATTGGCACTGTGATTTGAATAACTTTAACAAGATACTTTTTAATGAGGCAATATAAGGTAGGCAATCATCTAGATATTCATTAATTAGTGTCCAACAGGTTCAAGTTCATCATAAGCTTCCTCAAAGCAGGAATTTCCAATTGTAGCCCATTATCTTGCACCTACCAAGAGTTCATTATTTGTGAACTCTTGGTAGGTGCAAGCAGGAATTTCCAATTGTAGCCCAAAGCAGGAATTTCCAATTGTAGCCCATTATCTTGCACCTACCAAAAGTTCATTATTTGTGGAAAAAACCTATTATTTGACATCTTTTATTTTTATTCTTTCAACCTCAACGCTCTCACAGGAGCAAGGAAATAACAAGAATAATCAATTATTTGTAATTACCGAATAYCATTATCTTTTAAAGGTTTGGTTTTATTTATTTATTTTTATTTTTTTTTAAAGCTTCCTGGCAAATATATTAGATTCCCCTAGCCTAAAGGATGGCAAAATTTTATGTACAAGGCCAGATAGTAAATACTTGCTCGTGACAACTTTATGCTTTGCAGGCCTTATGGTCATTCAACCCTGGTTTTGTGGAAAAACATTCATAAATAACATAAATGAATGGCATGGTTGTTACTACAAGAAAGCTTACAAAAACAGAAGGCAGAAAGAATTTGGCTCCTAAGTCACAGGTTTGCTACCTTCTACCCTAGACTAGTCCCTTATTTAAATACATGTAATTTTTATCTTCTTTGTCCTCAAATCTCTAATAGTATTTTCCCATCTTCACTCTGCTTGCATTCYATTTCACTGAGAATATAGAAGCTTTCAGAAGAAAACTTCCATGAGGTCCCATCCTGAGAAGCTGTCATCATCAGCATCTATATATTCTGCCTCTTCTCCACTTTCATAAATGAAAAGTATGCTCATAGGGCCAATTCCAATTCAAGTAAAATGCATTATTGGTTTTTCTCTCTCAGTTCATCCTACTACCATTAAAAAAAAAAAAAAAAACCTCCGCCAAATTCTTGTCTCCTTTTCCCTTCCTAGTTAGTACAATTCCCCTCTGCAGAACGGAACTCCTTAAATATCTAAATTTAATGCATCTTCTCCCAATCTCTCTGAAAGGCATTTTAAGTAAGCTTTCACTCCACACTTTCACATAGTTACATCCAAAGGTATACTCTCAGAATTCTTTTTACCAAAAGCTACTAGGATTTGATAGGGGATCAGTCCCTCCTTAAAATCTTTCTTCATTTATCTTCCAGAACACCAGCAGCTTCTGGTTTTACTCCTATCTCTGTGAATGTACCTTCAAACTCCTTTGATATTTCTTCATCTCAACTTCTTAATCTCAGAATTATCCAAGTTCAGTCTTTCATTCTCTTCTATTCTCTATCCACACTCAATCTCTTGGAAATTTCATCAAATTGCAAGACTTTACAAACTATGTTTTTATGCTATTATCCACATTATATCTTCAGCACAGACTGCTTCAATGAATTACAGATGCATAAAGAATTAGTACTCAATATCTTTATTTGAAAATCTAATTGGCATCTCAAATTTAATACAACCAGAATAAAATTTCTTATTCTCACYTTTAAATCCAAGCCTTTTAAATTTTCTTTTCTTTTCTTTTAAAATGCTAGGGATCAGTCCTAGGACTTTGAACATGGTAGGCAAGGTTCTCTATCACTGAGCTACATACCTAGCCAAGTCTTTTCAAGTTTAGTTGCTGGCATGTCCATCTTTCCAGCTGCTTGGGTTAAAACCTTGGGTCTTTCTTGGTCCTCTTATTTAGCTCCCACCACACATCCAATTAACAAGCTTGTCACATTTACTTTCAAAAGGAACCCAGAGTCTCATCATTTTTTTAAAGATTTTGTCAATTATAACTCAATATAGTTGGAAGGAAAAAAGGCTTTGTAACCACCTGTGATTATCATCTCTTACCTGGATCATTGAAATAATTTCCTAAATGAGTCTCCTGCTTCTATCCTTGTCCTTCTACACCTTCTTCTCAACAGACTATAAAAAGTTATCTTAATTCTGAAATATTCATAGATAAAATGATATAATGCCTAGAATTTCCATTTTTAAAAACCAAAAGGAGGAAGAGGTTACGGATGAAAGAAGACTGGCCAAGAATTAATCATTATTGAAAATAAAGTGGTTCATCATATTCTTCATATATTTTTTTTTTGCTGCTAAATATACATATTCAAAAATAAACTAAATTTAAAAGGCAGAATAAACCTCCAACCCTCAAATCAATCTACATATATATCATACTGACAACTACATAATTATACAGGTAACTTTTTTGAAAGTGCTCTGGCTGTATAATCTTTAAAAAAAA